CTCTGCCCATCACCAGTGAAGCTCAGACTGCCCAGGACTTTGTGAAGCTGGTAGAGAAAGCAGACAACCAGCTCCAGGCTGGGCTGGCAGAAGAATACCAAAAGATGAATGATTCCCACCTGAAGGCTTTCCGGAGACAGCTGCCCATCACCCACAGCACTATTGACTGGGAGAAAATGGTAACAGCGAGGATTGTGGAGGCTCCCGCTGGTCGTTGAAAGATTACTGCTTGCAGCGTCTGAATAAAATGATAACGTGGCTAGAGATGGGAGCAAGGTCTAAATACTCTTAAAAACCAATAAAGAAAAGTGGGACAATGAGAAAGTCCAAAAAAAGATGGGGATAGGAAGAGTTTTATGGAGTCACAAGAGGAAGTGCACTTGGGAGACATAAGTTTAGGGGTTTCCATTGACCAATGCTGAGTGCACTAGAAAGGCTCATATAGGGCACCCTGCTACTTAGGCCTGAACCCAGGCTCATATCTAGCTATAATCTGCCAATCATTTCCTGTTCTTGTCCCCCAGAGCCCTTTTAGGAATCAATATGTCCACTTCTTGTCTCTCCTTTTGTGCTTTGTATATACAGAGGAATAAGGTAAAGCAGATGGAGAGGGGCAGCTTGTGTTGCTGAAGGTAGTTGAGAGTAACCCTCAAGAGACATCCTAAATACAAATGTGTGATGAGGAGTGGAACATATATACATACGTGTGTGTGTGTGTGTGTATGACACGCACACACATGAAAAACTAGTCAGACCTGTGTTTTGGTTTGTTAACAAAGTTGGAGGGAATTCGACAAGGAGCATATCAGAGGGTAGTGGTGTGTTCTAGTCGAGAAAGCACTGGGCTAGGACCCCAACAAACTGTTTTCTATTCCTGGTCCTGCCACTGGCCTGCTGGGTGACCTTGAAAAATTCCCCACCCCCCGGTCTCTGTTTTCCTATCTGTAAAATGGGGATAATGATCCTAACCCGCCTAGTAAATATAGTCTCTGGTGCCCAGATCTCTAACTTTTCTTTGATAATTCAGTCTAAGAGACTAAACAATGCATGGCTTGGTTAAATAGCATCTACTAGCAGCAGCAGTTAGGTGAAGAGAACTGACTTTCTTCAAGTATTTTAACGTTCTTAACACCAGAAAGGGAGAGCGCTTTAACTAGAAGAAATGATTTGTAACTGAGCCAAAGCAAAAATAGCTTGAGTCTTGGGCAGATCTTCCTGAGGTGTGTTTGCCTGTGGAATAGACCTCAGGGGAGTTGCACAATCCCCTGAAGTGCAGGTTGCAGGTGTGCTGTGGGCATGCAGCAGGCTGGCTGTATTCTGCACTGCAGTCCGGAGGTGTGATTGCAGCTCATGGAAATACTTAGCTGAAGCACTGATAATAGCACAGCCATGGCAGCAAAGCTTTGTCCCAGGCTGCAAAGCCTACCCAAATAAATACCTGGGTTGCTCACCCATGCTGGGCACTCTGCTACACTGCTAGTAGCACCTGAGCTAGATAGCTGACTGCTCTCTTGGAGAAGTCTACATGTGCTACAGTCACCCCTCTGGATTGCTGCATGGTCCCTATAAGTCAGCGCCAAATATAAGACTCGGCTGCTGCCCAAAGGGATGAGTTGCCTCACTCTGGGAGTGATGCATGTTTTTTGTGCTTTTCTACAGCACTATGTCACATCCATTTACCAGGTTCAGCACATGTGGCAAGTGCCTTCCACTATATCCCTGGGTTTTGCCGTGCTTCTTCCTGGCACTATCAGAGGCGGTGTCAACACGCCCCTTGCCTTTGCCATGCCGCCAGGTGGCACTGGCGGCTGCAGTGTACTTTAATCTCCTGGGTTGGCGGCCAGCCCAGAGCCACTGAGGAGCATGTGGCGGGTGACGTGGGAGGGATATAATGGAACAGATCAAGATTAAAAAAAATAGTGACTCAAGCAGCTGTGCTGTTGGCACGAGCTCAGCTGAGGAATCGGGAGAAGGCCTTTGGCCAGAAGCTGCCGTATGTGGGACCCACAGAGACCAAATGCATGAAAGACAAGTGTATGGAAATGGAAAGGGCTTTAGAGGGGTCCTGCATTTCGAACCTAACTGCCCCTGAAGGCTGAGAAGAGGAGTCTGCCAGGAAGGGTCTGGGCTTTGCAGCTCTGTTAGCACCCCTTGCTGGTCTTTGCAGAGTAGTAGCAGTTGCAGTCGCAGTTTCATTTCTGTAATGAAACAGCACAATCCTTATCTTAGAGATGTGTGACACAAGAAGCAGTAAGTAAAGCACTGGAGGAACAATTTGCAGGGCATGGAATATAGACATAAAACAGCTCCCGAGATTCAAGGCACACTCACACGAGGTATGCTTGGAAGTTCCTGGAAGGGACAACTGCTGCAGATGTAAACACCCCAGCACATGAGGAAATGTGGATGAGGATGAGGATTTTCAACCCTCCTGCAGTCCAGTGCATGTTGCAGTCCTCACACCATTCTCTACTTTACAGTGAATAGTCTGTGCAGATGCAGAGGGGAACTCCCCTCTGCCATTAAACCCCATCTACATGAGCAAAGTTACCCATTACTAAACAGCAGTGAATCCCCGAGCTGGGGTTGAGAAAGGCTCTAGGTGCTAGAGCAAGTGAAACCAACTCTCTCCCGATCTGGCTATAATGGTGCTGAAAGGGGTTTTGACCTGGCCACACAGGCAGTTCGCTGAACTGCTCCAGCACCAGTTCGAAGAGACACCCCAGTTCCCTTTGCAGCATAATCCTGCAGTCAACAAACACCATTTCATTTCCATGTTTTCAACAGATGCTCTTTTATTTGGTCCCTAGGAAGCACACTCAGTTTTAAAACAGTAACTGCACAAAAATCCATGTCAAGCTACTACAGGAAACACTGGTCTATGGGGGCTTGCGGTGATGACAGTCCTTGCTCCAGGGTGGTTTTTTGGGAGGAGAAAGGAGAGACTGCCAGATGAGACTAGACAGAGATGGAAAGCCAGAGAGGGAAAAGAAGGAAAACCAAAAAGGGAAAAAAACAGCTAAGAATAGAAGGGGGGAGAGCATGCCAGACCATGGGGCACGGCAGCTGTCATTTGGGATGTTATTACGGACATTCACGGTGCAACACACACGTCCGGATCCCCGTCTGAATGGCATCAATACACTTTTTTGTTTCACTCTCTTTGGAAGAGGGGCCTTAATTAGGCATGAAAAGATTTATCAAGCAGCGGCCTTCTGGAGCAGGCTGGTCCCAGCGACATCTGGCGTGATGGCTTCCAACACAGATCCAAACAGCAGCCGCAAGAAATTATGAAGACCAATGGCTTCTTCAATGCTCCCACCTCTTTTCTGTCTCCATTCAGCTGAGAAAACCAACCAGCGCTCACCCAGCATTAGCCGTGATACTGAGGGAAAAGCAAAACCCCAAATACCCATCTATCCTCTAACAAACAGCCAACCAGCTTCAGTGCCTTGTTTGGTCTCAGCGGCTGCAATGTGTTGTGCTGGCTTCCCTGGACATTTGACTAAAGCAGGGATGATAAAGCTGGTTTCCAGTGGGGTTTTCAACTCACTGGCAATAGCTATCCTCCCAGTGCTTCAGATGCCATGTGGCTAGAAGTAGCACTAAACTGAGTACTGTTTCTTGGGACTGGGTTATAGGACTTGACCCAGAGCCCACTAAAGCCAGCAGGCTTTTGTGCACACAGATAAAACTGGCAGGTCCTAACTACAATTTTTCTGCTCCTGATTATATCATAATGGAGAATCATTGCTTTAAACCACCGGTACTGATCACACTGAACTGAAACAAGTTTTGCCATTGATTTAAATGAGCACAGAATTTCACTCTTGGCTTAGTATATTTTCTTGCAGCACTGGGGAACCGGGATCAATTCCAGGAACAGACATGGTGCTGAGAGTTTCAGCCTGCTGCCGTGTTGCTTTGCATACATCTGGCATGTCCTTTGATTCAACAGAGAAGAAGGCCCAGGAATATGTGACATGTGAGCCAAGAAAACAAACCCATTGTTTTCCTTAAAGCCACCAATTATGCATTGCCCCTGGAGAGATCTCTGCAATCTCTACAAGCCACATGGGGAGCTCATTGGTATTTTAAACTACCCCCCAGGAAGACTTTAAGTAATATCCATGCCTCTCTAAGTAGCAAAACAGCTTCCTTACAAAGCCCCTGCCCCCCCAACAAAGGCATAATAAGCAGTTTCTGAGCTCTGGGTGGCGGCAGAGGCTGGTGGAGCGGCGGTGGCCACCTCCTCTCTTCCACTGCCTCAAGTCAGTGATGGGGCTCGGTGCTCCACTCTCCCCCCAAGTAGTTACAGCACTGCTCTCCACTTCCCCGCGCAAGGGAAATGGCCTGTACTCCTTCTCGAGACAGCAGCTGGGCTGTTCGCTCTGGCACGTTAGTAGCCGCATATGTTCTAATCCATTTAAAAATAAAGCTCACACTGTTTATATTACTTTATTTTATTTTTTTAAAAAGGTTTGATAACAGCAATCACTACCTTGGCTCAGGCCTGTCCCCAGAGGATCAGTAAAAATCTTCTATTAACAGTCTGGCAACTTCCTTTTTAGCCATCACCTCCTCCTGGCTGGGCATGAATCCCCAGGGAATGTTCTGTCTCGAGCAACCATTCATTAATTGTGTGATGCCGCGGAAGTTTGCAAGACCCACTTGCTTTTTTTTAAATTAATTTCTTCCGCCCTCCCTCCCCTCTTAAAAAATACAAGCAATTAAGTTGAAATAAGGTTCAAGGTAGGATGCACATTCACCAAATCAAGCTGAAGCTAATTGTTAAGGCCAAAGTTCAGCTTGGAAAAAAAAAAGCCTCAGGCAGATCATTTCCTTGGGTTGGGAAGAAACATCCCCTTGGGGCAGATTAGTCCACAATTAGTCTGCTGCAGCGTTACAAGCATCTGGGCTTGAGACTAGCTACCAGAGTAGATGCTGACAGTATGGCAATTCCACCACTCCTAAACATGACTCAAGCTTTGTCTATATGATAAAATTCCTGCCCCAGGTGACAGTACCCACAAGCATGCGGCACTCCTTCAGACAGGATGCCTGCTGAGCTGGGAGCATGGCCGCACAGGCCGGCTAATTAGCACGGAGACAGGCTAACTCGTACTGCCACTCAGTGGTGTAAATTAGTCTGCGTGGACATGGCTACATCACTTCTGTTTAGAAGACAGTACATCTGGAGCAATGTAGTTTACTGCTGCTAGTGACAGTGGGGCATTTTGTAGAGATACAACCACGTAGCTCTGCCTTTTCAATGTGGTGGTAGGCATTTGGATTTATAAAGGGACAATGTCGATTAGCTTAACTTGAAAATGCTGGATGGAAAGCATGGAAGCATGTGCCTAGTGCAAACCAGAGCTCTTTCACGATCTAAGATAAACTTCGTTAATGGCACTTGTTGATCTTAAACCTCCTGAACCTCCAAACAGACATCAGGGAATGACATTACAATAGACCTGCCCAATCTTGGTTCAAGGTCAAACAACAAGATAGAAAAGCCAGTGTTGGCAAGCAAACTTGGTTTTTAGAACCATTTCTCTGTCATAAAGTAGATCTTGTTGCTAACACAGAGGTGGGTTTTACTTAGAATTTCTTGAAAAAATGGGTGATTTCCACTCCTGTGTAAGTAGGCCAGCCTGGGGCCTGCATGAGTTGTATTCAAGCCTTTCCAGTATCAGTTAGCTTGGACTTAAGTGGTCCATAGACCTTCTGCTGGTTCTTTCCGCAGGGGTGAAGATCAACCTCTGGGATTCAGTCTTGGCAGGCTCCCTTCCAGCCCTCACTTTTGATCTTTCTGCTTGACTGGGTCACAATCCCGTTGCCCATTTTTTGGAGTGGGGTGGCCTGTTTAACAGGTAGCCACTGGGAATGAGGAGCTAAGTGTGCCCCTGGTTTTCATGAGTTCTAACAGAAGATCAGTCCCTTTGACTTTGGCACTGCTGAACCCCTCAGACTGACTGCTGGTTTGCAGCAGCCTTCCAGCTACATCCCAGCGCCGTTGGTTTTTACTAATAGTTCCTTAAGAGAGAAAGAGAAAAGCACAAACACAGCACCCTTTGGAGAGCATCTGCCCAGTCTTTTATACAACATCAACTGCGCTGTCTCCTTGAAGGCCCCAGGCCTCCTTTCAGTGCAACAGCTGCAAATCTGATTTTAACCAGCACACCACTGAGAGCCCCTTTCGGGGGTTGCTGGAGTCTCATGCTGCATCTCAAAGGCTGCATTCACAGCCCAGTGGTCTTTCCACACAGGCTGCAGCCTGAACCACTGGGATGGATCTTGACTGGTGACCACCTGGAAGATACTGCGTGCCGTTCACCAGAGGCAGCAGGGCAGGCCCGCTGGACTGAAGGTGCAGCAGCTCTCAGCTGGGTCCGACTGCGTTTCTCCGTTCCTGTCCAGTCACTCAGGCAACCCCTCAGCTGTGAAGCCACAAGCAAACCTTCCCTCCCTGCACCCCCACAGCCCTACCATTAGCACTGAGCCAAGAACACTACTTACTGAGAAGTGCCAGCACCTGGGTTCTTGGTCAAACTAACTAACTACCAACCTTGGACCAGTCACGACAAATGGCCTAATATTTACCCGTTGCCCTAACACATCCGTACAAACCAAGGCAACCTTCGCATCGTAGAACTACCTTCCTGCTGAGCTTAGCCAGCCCGAGGCAAAGCCATTTCAGACCTTCCTGCAACTCATCTGTCCCTTCCTTGGTGAACACCAAACAGTTATAATACTCAGGTCAATATATATAGGTACCACGTATATATATTTTTGTCACTGTTCTGCGCGTTAACAAAGAAAACCAACCCCACTAGCCACCACTTGTCCTTTGCTCCCCCTCCCCCAGTCTCCTGTGGTGTGTAGCCTGCAGGAACACGAGTGCGGCAGCCCGTCTTACGTGGCCCCGTCGCATGCTCCCACAGTCAGTTTCAAGGCTCCCTGCTGGTGCAGCGTCTTTAAGGCTTTGAACTCCAAGGGCATGGTGTGCGGACTGGCCTGAGAGGTGTAGCCATACTTCAGGCTGTCGTAGTAGTGGTACTTGACAGGGTTCTGGTTCTGGTCCAGGGGAAATGGCCAGAAGCCATAGAGATAGATCTTGTTGCAGAAGCGGGTGGCCAGGGTGTACATGAGCAGGCCAGTGGTGGGTCGTTTTATGTGCACTTTGTTTGTGAGCCAGTACCTGGAGGGGAAGAGAAAACACAAGCCTGTTGTTTGTGATATATCCCCCCGCCGTGTCACGTGCATGACACCTGCTTGCACTCTGCTGAAGGCAGATTCAAAACCCAGACATGTTTGATTGATGTAATCGTCCCGCTTGCCAAGAAATAACCTCTGCTGGGTTTGCTTCATGAATAAACATTTCCTGCCAGTCTGTCTGTCTGTCGAGGCATTGACATCATGCTTGTCACTACCATATTCAAGTACCTTATGTCTCTGTAATGATTTGTGAATAACAAATCTCCTTCAATGGTGGCTTTCAGTACTTCACTTTACAATTATTTTGCAAGCAACACGGAGATCAATATTACAGACCAATCCATTGATTAATACTAGAGACGGGATCATGGATTCCTTTAATAACCCCCTTCCCCCGCCCCACACCCAATAAATAACTTAAATGCCTCACTGAGGCATGATGAATTTACTCTAATAATAAATGTAATGGAGCTGTGGAAATATCTGCCTTTGCATTAGAGATCGTCATGCTGGGAATCCTGAAAAATGCGGCTGTTGGCTACGGCACCTAATGGTCCCTTACTCAAACACAACCACAATATTCTGGTGTTAATGACAGACTAAGGCTGTGCAGCAGAGAGTTGCAGGAGTGGTTTGGGGCCATCACTTTTGACTACTACATTAATTTTTGTGAGAGATAGCAGAGAGAATGAGTGGAAATAACATCCTGTAGCAATGGGCCAAAAGCCAGCAGAAAGCCCTTTGTTAGGGGGGTGTTTTGGGCTGTTGTTGGAAAACACTGTGGTATTATTGTACTGTAATAAGGGATGTTACCAGTTTGACAGCTTAGAGTAGCTACTTGCTGAGCAGAGAATGCTTTGCTATAAAAACCACAGTAAAAGGAAAGAGGTAGGAGGCTGGAAAATCTCCCCAGGGTGTATGCTTCCCCTCGGTCACATCTGATATTGGCCATGTTCTACAGCTGGTGTCCCCGGCTGCAGACAGAGTTTCCTGCAGTTCCTGAAGCTGCAGCTGGCCTGTGATCATTCCTGGCTTGCACTTCCCAAGAGGCCATGGGGAACCTGTTCAAACACTTGCCATGGTGCATGTTCACTTTAGATGCCCATGAATAATTCGTAGTAAAGTTTTCAGAAATAATGAGTTTCAGGTGACTCTGCCTACAAGGCTGATGATGGTTTTCAGCAGCTCTGTGAGGTCTTTCACAGCTCTGTGAGGTCTTTCTCTGAGTCCTTCTAGCAATTTGAATATCAACTCTTCTCTCTTGGGTCCTGATCAGCAAATGCATCCTCCTGCAAGCCCTTCCATACAGGTGCAGTTGCAGTGATTTTCATAGGATCCGTGTGGGTGTCAGGGTTTGGATACTGGGGTGGCCTGTGCAGATCACAGCCTAAGTCCTGAAAGTGATCTCTGCACAAGAGGTATTAGAATTTACCAGGCCAGGCACAAATCTACCTGCCCATCTTCAAATAGATGGGAAAAAAGCAACTTGCCCCAGGTGAGCTGGGGAGTAACATTTTGAAGGTGGAGTGAATCTGGCAGATAACCTCGTGGGTTCTCAGACCACTCTAAGGGCATGCAAAAAGTCCTGCTTTCCTGTGGGCTGTCTGCAGTGACGGCTGGCTGGTAACCACCATCAGCTGTACCAGAGCTCCTGGGGCTGTGGAAAAGCACTCTGATTTGCTACTTCCGGCAGGAACAGCTCAGGAAGGTGCTGCCACTTGGAATGATTCAGCAGTCAGTATTTGAGAAGTGAGGTGCTTGCAGCGAATAACAGAGAAATCCAGGATGTGGTTTCTTCCCAAGCCCTCTGCTCAGAGGAACTGTCCCTGGATTTTTTTGGACTTGCCCAAACCCATGTGCTGTAGTGTCAAGAAGGCAAACCCTGCTATTGTAAAGAACCACAAGGCTATGAAACAAGGTTTCATGGTTTCATGGTTTCATAGTTTCTAGGGTCAGAAGGGACCTGAGTAGATCATTTAGTCCGACCCCCTGCCATGTCAGGAAAGATTACTGGGGTCAAATGACCCCAGCAAGGTGTTCATCTAACCTCCTCTTAAAGACCCCCAGGGTAGGGGCCAGCACCACTTCTCTTGGAAGTTAGTTCCAGATCCTAGCCACCCTGACCGTGAAGTAGCGCCTCCTGATATCTAGCCTGAATCTACCCTCTGCCAGCTTGTGACTGTTATTCCTGGTCACTCCTGGCAGTGCTCGGGGGAACACGGACTCCCCCAATGCCTGCTGATCCCCCCTGACTAGTTTGTAACAGGCCACTAGATCCCCTCTCAGCCTCCTCTTGTGGAGGCTGAACAGGTTCAGCTCCCGTAGCCTCTCCTCGTAGGGCCTGCCCTGCTGTCCCTTGATCATGCAAGTGTCCCTCCTCTGGACCCTCTCCATGTTGTCCACATCTCTCTTGAAGTGCGGCGCCCAGAACTGGATGTTGTACTCCAGCTGCGGCCTGACCAGTGTTGCACAGAGGGGGAGGATCACCTCCTTGGACCTGCTCGAGATGCATCTGTGGATGCGTGACAAGGTGTGGTTGGCCTTCCTGACTGCATCCCCACACTGCCGGCCCACGTTCATCTTGCAGTCAATGATGACTCCAAGATCCTTTTCTGCCTCTGTACTGACAAGAAGGGAGTTCCCTAACCTGTAGGTATGGTGCCGGTTGTTCCACCCCAGGTGCATCACCTTGCACTTGTCAGTGTTGAATCTCATCCTGTTCTCATCCGCCCACCCTTGTAACCTGTCTAGGTCCGACTGTAGCCTATTGCTCCCTTTTAGAGTGCCCACATCCCCCCTGTAAAATACACAGGTACCTGTGTATTTTAAGCCACAGTCCAAAGGTCTGCCATTGGGCTGCTAAGGCAAGGAGAGAAATGGGAGTTTATTACAGCCATTTAATACTGTGAGTCAGGGACAAGTTGTTCACCAATGAAACTACCACAATCTTCCTTATGGGAAGATTCATAAAGTCACATTCATCCGTTGACTTCAGTGGAGTTACATCAGGGATGACTTGGTCCCATACAACTTAATGGCCTCAAAATTAGCTTCACCATCTCTGCTAGTCTAATACGAATGTCTTAATAGCATCTCACTGGGCCACACCTTGGGCTGTTACAAGACAAAACACAGAGGAATACTAGCTACTTATGACCTGTCAGTGGCATTTTCCTTCAGGTACTGTTTGTGGGTGGGATACGGGGCAATAAACCTCTCTATGTATAACAATCTGCTGGTGCCAGGGGGAAAGGCACTTGCTGCTCCAGTGCTGAGGGGCTGGGATGACATGGCTTGGAGAACAAGCTCCAACTCCGAGCTGTCCCTGAGATAGGGAAGGAAATGGATGCATTGAAATGAATGAGGTCCAGGGTAGCAGTCAAGCCACAGGACTGGCTGCACTGTGGAGAACACGTCTTCCTTGCTTTTCAGGAAATGAAGACTCCTCCAGTGAGCTCTTGGAAGGACATGGGGTCCTGCTTAATGAGGAGCTTGTATGAGCAGCCACTTGAGTTATGCAGGAACAAATTGCTCTCTTATCTCTTTTGCTGTTCTGGTCACATTAGATGGTGTCCGCATTACTGGCGCATGCCCTGTACCCGTTTTGAGAGGACAGCTGGGGACTGAAACAAAAACTAATTAATTTTGCAAATCCAAATGAGGTTGTCTGGGCGCACATGGGATGCTATGTCAACAGCACACCTTTAATATGCGAGGTCTGGGATTTTAATTAGGAGGCGAGGTAAGCTTGAGGAAGGCAGTAATTATTTTTCAAATTGGCTATACCAGTCACTGTAACCATTAACTGCAACACTTTATGGAAACAGACAGCAATTAAAGGGGGGAGCTAAGAGCAATCTTGCAACGTGATACTGTCCTTCCCTGAGCCCTTCCTAGCAGCTGACACCTTCCTCAGAAGGTATCATGGTATCAGGTACCAAATAAATCTTCAGAGGCTGAAGCAGCATTCACAGACAGGGGGAGTGAATGCAGAAACTGTACTACTGGCCAGCAAAAACTGCCTGAAACTATTCTTATATAGGCTTGTAATAATAACAGATAGACTGGAGCTAGACTGTTCTCAGTGGTGGCAGATGACAGAACAAGGAGCAAGGGTCTCAGGTTGCAGCAAGGGAAGTTCAGGTTAGATATTAGGAAGAATTTTCTCATGAGGAGCATAGTAAGGCACAGGAACAGGTTACCCAGAGAGGTGGTGGACTCTCCATCCTTGGAGATTTTTAAGACCTCGCTAGACAAAGCCTTGGCTGGGATGATGTAGTTGGGGCTGGTCCTGCTTTGAGCAGGGGTTGGACTAGATGTGACCTCCTGAGGTCCCTTCCAACCCTAATTTTCTATGATTATATAGAAAACCCTTTTAGATCACCCAGCGCATCCCTTGTAAGGGAAGGAGATAGCTTTATGGAGACATATTACCTATTAAACTGATGGCAGCCAAGAAGACAATAGCTAGGAGCAGGGCTGGTGCTTTCCTAGGTGACTGTCCCCTCACTAGTCAGTACTCTTTGCTCCCATGTGGCAAAACCATCTTTTAGAGAAGACAGTTTTAAAACAGAGCCCCTGAGGCCTCTAGGAGGCTCTAGGGTCCTAGAAGGCACAAGGCCTCCTAGGAAATCCCAGCGCATAATTTGTCCAAAACCAGTTCAATGAGAACAGCTCCAGGATGCTGGAGCAATTGGGATGGTATTAACTTCCAGTGAAGTTGCCAGGACATCTGGTAACTTCCAATGAAGTTGCAACGTCTGTCTTAAGATGTTGCATGCCATTACTGCGTGCTGTTCAACAGCTGGCGTACCCACGCCATTCTGAAAGCAACACAGGTGGGCACTGTACAGTGCACTTCTCTCATCAAGTGTGGGTTGTGAGCCTTCTGGATAAAAGGCGCTCTGGGAATTGAAATCGTAGGCAGTTGTGAAACGGTAGCCTCTCTGTGGTTGAGAACAGCGGCAGAGCCTCTATCCTGCT